CTAAGATTTTTCATGTCGGGTTCGGAGAGTGGTGCCCTACTGGCCTTCCACCACGACTAATCGGTTGTTCACGAGTCCCTCGGCTCACCAGTAGCCACCTCTATCTGGTTCTTCACGGAGATTATAGCGTCCTCCAGCACAGTATAGCCACCGCTCACGGGAACTACCACGGTTTACTGGTCCCTTTCACCATTTTCTCGACTTGCATCTGAAATCGCCGTGTGAGAGCAGGGGGTGGCCAGCACAACTAGTTCGGGACCAGTGTTAGTCAAGTTCACCGTTTTTGTAGAGGAATGGGAACACAAATGCCCCGAGCGGTATTCGACCCCAAGAATCTGTTGGCGGAACAGTCTAGGCGACAGGGGGGTGTATTTTGCACATTCGCTGCTTCCCATCGACGTGTCGACCTCGTGTTGGCCCTTCTAGACAGCCTTCTCGGGTTGACAAGTTTTTCCATGATGGCTTGACGAGCTTGCTCCAGCTTCACAAGAGTTCACAGGTTCCACCAGAGTGAGACTTGTAAACCGGAACTAGTGAAGCAACGAAAGTGCAAAATGCCCCCCCTCCGTCGCCACAGCGCCCAGTGCCACTCGCCACTACTCCATCTTCGTCCAAACTCCACTTTTCTGGAGCAAAATGCTCTTACCGGCTTCTCTCCCAATAGTGCTGCTGGAATGACGGCAATCGACGAAACAACGATAGCTTGTGTCTGAATAAGCGCCATGTTAGACAGTGCCACTTGCCATTTTTGTTTTGGCGTCTCCATAAATCCGAGGTTCGCCTAAAAGTCATGCTAACATAGGAAAAAACCAATAAAGTTTTCTTAAAAACCATACCAGGGTAGACAGCCTGGAAGCCAACGTCATCTCGAGGTTGCCTTTTAATCCAACCAGGGTCGGTACTAGTGTGACAGCGTCCGGAAGCTCTATGAAGAACGACCAGGTTTCGGCATCCTCGAGAAGAAGGCCAGCAAAAATCAGACCGAGGCCGGCGAATAGGAAGGGAATAAGAGTCTGAAAAAGGTGTTTTGGAAGTTTGATCCAGGGTGAACTCCAACTAAAATTCATTCTTATGTTTTTTATTCTCTTTGAGTACTTCCGTAAATGTGGTAGAGTAGTTTACGCGCTGAAGTAGCCGTTTCAATTTCCCAATGAAAGGAAACATAATGACAGGTCTGTCTCCGCCCATACAATCAAAATGGACAGAGTTTATTGAGAAACATCCACACTGCCTTCACTATTTGATAAACGATCACAAACCTCAAGAAAGAATGATATGTTCGTTTCGGGCTTCCTTGGTGGTGCCGGAGGAGGTTTCTTCAGAGACATTTGTTGAATAATCACCGCTATTGGGGCGAATATCCACTGCTCAGGTGAAGACGTCGAAAGTGCAGCTCCAGGGTTTCTGAAATTTATTTACTTATTAATTGAAAAAATGAAGCTCAAGAGATGAGAGATTCGAAAAAAGCTGTATATATTTGAGCAAAAGTTAACTTCAAGTGTTAATCAGAACATTTCTATGGCACTAACAGAAGACTCCTGAGGGGGCACTTTGCACATCTGCTACTTCTCATCGACGCCCTCTACTGCTTACAATAGTTGGCAGGCTTTACCATGGTGGTTAGCTGAGCTTGCTCCAGCTATGCAGGAGCTCACAGGTTTCATCAGAGCAAGACTTGTTAACCGGAACTAGTGAGGCAGCGGAGGTGCAAAATGCCCCCCCCCCCCTCCCCACGGCGGCCGCGCTGCAATTGGGATATGTCGTTTTTAGGCTGCGTTCATACTTTGCGTCATCGTTTTGAGCGTTTCGACCGACTGGGAAAGTATAGGTATCGATCTAGAGTTTTGAGCGTGCACCAACGTTTCCAGCGACTGTCGGCGAAAGTCAAAGCTACCCGCGAACACGCTCAAAACCTGGCGTACGCTCAGAACATTAGATCGATACCTAATTTTTCTAGTCGCTCAAAACGCTGTCGTACGCTCAAAGCGCTGACAGAAAGTATGAACGTAGAGGGAGAGGCAATTGTGATCATGTCAAAGATTTTATTTGCCCAGCAAAAGAAAGGATGACAGTTGTCTCGTTGAGATCCCACGAAAAAACTCATCTGACGTTACCTCTAAATAAATTACGCAGCCACACCTCCCTACCTCCGGGATATGGAATGTAATTTAAGCCCAATTTTTTACAACTGTGGAACTGTGGGAAGATCTAGAGGACAAAGAGAAATTCATTCATCACCGGAGATCATCTCGCATATGTATATTCTTATAATTTTTCCTCGAAACGGCTCTTTTTGCCATTTTTGCGCGAAGAGCTCTTCACACACATTTTCTGCACACATTACCTTACACCATATGCGCCGCCCCAGGTAACCCCGCCCCTTTTTGCCACGGACACAATCCATCTTCACTTTAAACATATTTTGCACTATATATAGATGTTATAGTAAATTTTCACACTTTTCATCTATTTTGACAGATAGACCCTTGACAACACTTTTCCTATGTACTACGCTTGTCTCCGCCCGCGACGACTCCGCCCACTTATTGATGGAGATGTACCTTTCTTCGGTTCCCCTTAACTGCAAATCTACGTCTGCGAGGCAAAATGGACATGATGACCGTCTCTACACGCGGTCAGAAGGTCTGGGGTAAATTCGTGGGTCCGATGTCCGAAGAGAAGGGGGATATTTGCATGGATCCGAAACCGTAGGAAAAAAGAAACGGACCAAGAAGCGCTGCTATTAAACGAAGCTCATAGAAACGTGAGCGAAGAAAAGAATGCAAATCAAATCTATAGAAAGAATGAATAAAGCTGGACGTTCCGCAAAACCCCTGCACTTCTTGCTGAATTGTTGATTAGTTATCGATTAAGCATGAATGCTGAGTTATGCGCAAAAGCCAGATCGCAGGTGGGACTCGAACCTACTTCCCGGTTACCGAGCAAGTGCGATACACATTAACCCTCTCAGCTCTCAGATCGAGCCCCTTTCACAACCTTGACATCGTAGGATTTTACGGCACACTAACGTCATCTTATTAAAAACCTTTCCATAGGATAAAAGAGTTGAAAACCGGCGCAGCGCAGTTGAGCTTGGTGGGCAACATGATTT